CCTGAAACCACAAAGTTTTACAGCAGCTAAAATTTACCTATCAATCAAATAGGGCTGATGAGTGCAAGACAAGCCGTACAATAAATACTGTCTTTCGTGCTCTTGTTCTTCTTTCTTATACAGATTCCACATAAAGTTCCACGCGTCGTAGGCACCTTTTGAAACGCCCAGACAGTACACCTGTTTTCGAATGTACGGAGGTACACTAGACACGATAAGTCAGAGACATTTCGCTTTTTTCATAGTGTGCAGAGTACCTGCTGCATGTGCTACTTCGAGCATAGCTGTCGTTGCAGCTTTTCGAAAAGTTGGTGAAAAGAAGATCGGCCATTGCTACCGCAGGTGGATAGTCGAAGGTGGAAGCCAGAGAGAAAATGATGTTTTTCATGTACCTGCGAAACGAGCGGTCCGAAAAACAAATACGATCATCGAAACAAAGCATACTCGTCTTTGTCAAGTTCAATGTTCGCAAAAGTCGGCTTCAGAAGTTTCAGGAAGTACGCCTACACCGAAACGACATAGTTTCCAAGTTTAATCGGTTAGTGTCAAGTTATTACTTACCCTGACAAAAATAAAGTCCTTTTCCCTAAAGGTCATGCTGATCAAATAATCCAGCGTAGTCTTAAAGGCCATCCAAGGCAATGCCTGTCTCTCATTTTCCAGGTATCGAGTCAGGTTTAAGGCCAGTTCATAAGAAACAACACCACCCCTAAAATACAAGATGTTCCTCGTCTTAGTTTTGTGAAGAGCGAACATTCACCTTGCTAAGTTGAATGCATCATCCAAAATTTGGATCCTGCTTATTTCGTCGAACCTCTAAATTTAAAAACAAATTTTAATTTAAGAGCATACTAGTGCATTAAGTTCAAAGCACATAAACATAAGCGGCTATGCGTACAGACAGATTCAGATTTACGTAATAGCATCGTTTCTCAAACCTATATCTAACAAAAATATTACGTAAATCGGTCCACCCCTGTCATACCGGTGATTCAGACTACATCACTTATGTGTTTACAGTTCAGTCATACAGTGATATATTTGTGACACGTTTAAAAGATTATGTTTGTCAGTTTCATTCACAGGAAGCAAACACAAATTTGATTGCCATACGTAATAATTAATGCGAAGTAGCAAAATAGAAATAGTTTGAAATAATTAAAAAATTAAAAATAACGTATCGGCCGTCCTTATTAACTTATCAGTAGATGTGTGACAGTGGCTCGTTTTAGCGCTATTCAAGTGCACTAAAGCTTTAAGCCAAATTTATTTCTCTTTAAACTTTGAGTAACTGTGAGGCATTAGAATCCATGTACCCCAATCGCGCCA